TCATCTCTACTAAAAACAGAAAAACTAGGCTGGGTGTGGTGGCACATGCCTGTAATCCTAGCACTCTGGGAGGCCAAGGCAGGTGGATTGCCTGAGCTCACCAGTTCTAGACCAGCCTGAGCAAGAGCAAGACCCCATCTCTAAAAATAGCTGGGCACTGTGGCAGGCACCTGTAATCCCAGTTACTTGGGAGGCTGAGGCAAGATATCATTTGAGTCCAAAAGTTTGAGGTTGCTGTGAGCTATTACGCAACAGCACTCTACTGAAGGAACAAAGTGAGACTCTTTCTCAAAAAATAATAATAATAGAAAAACTACCCAGGTGTCATGGTAGGCACCTGTAGTCCCAGCTACTCAGGAGGCTGAGGCAAGAGGATCACTTGAATGCAAGAGACTGAAGTTGCTGTGAACTATGATGATGCCATGGCACTCTGCCCAGGGTGACAGAGTGAGACGCTATCTCAAAAAAAAAAAAAAATTAAATAAATAAATAAAAATAAAAAAGAAGAAAAACTTTAGTTCCCCTGGCTCTATGGTAGAGAGAAGATGGAAGAATGGAAATTTGCAGGCTTAGAAAAAAGTGAGACCAGAGTTCAAGTCTTGGCCCTGCCTATTGTCAGCTATGGCCCAAGAGCAGTAGGCAAAGAGGGAATCAGAGGGGGGCATGAGGAATTTGGGGCAGGGATGAGACAGAATGTATTACTGAGTTATAGGCTAAAACTGAGGTTTTTGCTGGGTGCAATAGATCACACCCATAATCCCAGCACTGAAGGAGACTGAGGCGGGAGGATCACTTGAGGCCAAGAGCTCAAGATCAGTCTGTTCATCATACCATGACCCCATTTCTACAAAATACTTTTTAAAATTAGCCAAGGATGGTGGCATGATGGCATATGCCTTTAGTCCCTGCTACTTTGGAGAATGAGGGAGGAGGACTGCTTGAGCACAGGAGTTCAAGATCACGGTAAACTATGATCATTCTACTGAACTCCAGCCTGGGCAAGAGTGAGACCCTGTCTCTAAAGAAATTAAAATTAGGCCAGGCACAGTGACTCATGCCTGTAATCCTAGTACTCTGGGAGGCTGAGGTGGGTGGATTACCTGACCTCAGAAGTTCAAGACTAGCCTGACCAAGAATGAGATCCTGTCTCAACTAAAAATACAGAAAAAAATAGCCAGGCATAGTGGTGCACACCTGTAGTCCCAGCTATTTGAGAGGCTGAGGCAAGAGGATCTTCTTGAGCCTACGTTTGAGGTTGCTATGAGCTGTGATATCAGGGCACTCTACCCAGGGCAACAGTGCAATTCTGTCTTTAAAAAAAAAAAAATTAAAATTGGGTGGTACCTATGGCTCAGTGAGTAGGGCACTGACCCATATACCGAGGGTGGTGGGTTTGAACCTGGCCCCAGCCAAACTGCAACAAGAACAACAACAAAATTAAAATCAAATACATAAAAATAATCAGATGTTGGACAACTGACTTCAGAAAATAAATGAAAAGAAATAAAATGGAGGGTTTTG